CTCTATCAGAAAATCCTGAAGGAGAATGTCCGGCCGTCAGTTTGTGACTTCAAGCTCAAGCACACTTGGGTTATGCAGCAGGACAATGATCCCAAACACACCAGCAAGTCCACCTCTGAATGGCTCAAGAAAAACAAAATTAAGGTTTTTGGAGTGGCCAAGTCAAAGTCCGCACTTAAATCCATTTGAGATGCTGTGGCATGACCTTAAACAAGTCCATTCATGCTCGAAAACCCTGAAATGTGACTGAATTAAAACAATTCTGCAAAGAAGAGTGGGCCAAAATGCCTACACAGCAATGTGAACGGCTCATTGCCAGTTATCACAAATGCTTGATTGCAGTTGTTGCTGTAAAGGGTGGCACAACCAGTTATTAGATTTAGGGGGCAATACATTTTTCACGTAGTGCCAGGCAGGTTTGGACAGCTTTTTTCCCTTAATAAATGAAATCATCATTTCAAAACTGCATTTTGTATTTACTCGGGTTATCTTTCTTTGTGTAAAACATTTGTTTGATGATCTGAATCTTTTAAGTGTGACAAATATGCAAAAAAATAAAAAACAGGAAGGGGGCAAAAAACTTTTCATGGCACTGTAGTTATTTGAGTACTTCAAGTTAAACTAAAAAAAAAGAAATTATTAAATATTTATATATATTTTTTAAATAATTCCTTTTATTTCAGTTAACTTTTACATTTTATTTCAAGTGACGATTTTTTTTTACTGGTTTTAGTTTTAGTGTAACAATAATAACTCCAGAAGTGAATAAAATAAAATAAATTAAATACATTATAAATAATAAATTGTAAATAAACAAATGCATACGTTTTAATTACAATATAAAAAATAAATTAAAAATGACAGTTACAGCACAATTGCTTTATTTATTTATTTGCTAAATACTAAAAAATATAAAATACAATTTTTTAAATACTGTTTTATTTTTGTTATTAATTTTATATTAATATTCAGCACTCTGTATCAATACAAATTTGTTGTTGAATTTAAAAAGTTGGAATTAAGCAGTTTTATTATTTTATTAAATAATAAACAAAATATAAAGGTAACACTTTACAATAAGATTCCATTTGTTAACATTAGTTAACTACAGTAGTTAACAAACAAACAATGAAAAATATATCTAAAGCATTTATTAATCTTAGTGTTGATTCCAACATTTACTAATATATTATTAAAATCAAAGTTGCATCTATTAAGTTAGCAGCGCCAACATGAACTAACAATGAACAGCTGTATTTTTTTTTATTAACTAACATTAACAAAGATGAATAAATACTGTAACAAATGTATTGCTTATTCTTAGTTAATGTAAGTTAATGCATTAAATAGTTAACAACAGGAACCTTATTTTGAAGTGTTACCTATATAAAAATATAAACAATATAAAATAAAAAATTTAGTGATCTATGTTGTGCTGTAAATCAATTAGCAATCAGAAACTCTATTCTGACATTAGAAAATTCTGTAATCTTTTCTATCTATTTTTTTTTTAACCAAAATATACCTCGCAAACCTACTCCGCATAATAACCCGGGATAGTAACAAGTATCTTAACATCTAAAACTAGTGCTGTCAAACGATTAATCGCGATTAATCGCATCCAAAATAAAAGTTTTTGTTTACATAATATATGTGTGTGTACTGTGTATATTTATTATGCATATATAAATACAAACACATGCATGCATATATTTAAGAAAAATATGTTGTTTATATATTAAATATATGTATATATAATAGAAAATATAATAATATAAATATATAAATGTATATACATGCAAATATTTTCAAAATATCTACTGTATGTGTGTGTATTTATATATACATAATAAATATACACAGTACACACACATATATTATACACGTTCATATATTATGTAAACAAAAACTTTTATTTCGGATGCGATTAATCGCGATTAATCGTTTGACAGCACTATCTAAAACGCATGTGACATCTGCGTATGGGTAGTCATGTGACAGTAGTGTAGCAGCTGAAGAGCAGTTTTAGTTTTATCCGGACTGAATGTGTGTTTGTTAGTGTCACCTGTGCAGGACCATGGACCTCATGAGCATGAGCAGGTTGAGCAGACAGGACAGGGTCACCGCTGACAGATAGCAAACTGAAACAAACACAAGCACATGAGCCACAAACACACTCTCACAGCCTCAGCACTTTTTCCCACTCACTGATTGGAAAACGAGCTGTGCGGACTACTTCATTATTCATCTGCTGATTTACACGAGTATTTAAAGCTGAGAGAAAGTGGATGTGTGTGTGATGCATGCAAACCTCCTGTAGTCTGGATCAATGCAAGCTCACATTTGCATGGCTGTGCTGGCATACATTAGCTTATCAGAGATCATCATTAAAGCTGCACTGGCCAACTGCACCGATCCAAATGACTTTCTCACTGTAATTACTTTATACCGAAATGGTTTAAGTGTTGTTTATGTGAATACCACCTTGAAGAAAGATTTCAAAAGCTAATCTCTAGGCCTCTAGGGCTTAAAAAGTATTTAAATGAATCTGTTTGTCTTATATTTACTGAATAATTAGTAGTGCTGTCAAACGATTAATCGCGATTAATCGCATCCAAAATAAAGGTTTTTGTTTACATAATATATGTGTGTGTACTGTGTATATTTATTATGTATATATAAATACACACACATACATGTATATATTTAAGAAAAATATTATATGTTTATATATTAAATATATTTATCTGTAATATAAATATAAATATATACATGTAAATATTTTAAATATATATATACACTGTATGTGTTTGTATTTATATATACATAATAAATATACACAGTACACACAGATATATTATGTAAATAAAAACTTTTATTTTGGATGCGATTATTCGCGAAATATGGTTAAAGTGTACAGCTAAATGAACATATATAGTAAACTGAGGTTTTTAATAAAAAAACAACAACTTGTAAGTCATGTATTTAGATATAATTATAAATTAGATTTTACATAAAATATAATTACTATAATTATGTATTTAAATATAATTATAATTACACATTGGTAGTGATGAGGTTGCAATTTAATACAATTTAGTACATTTAAAATATATTTACTTTAGTTATGTTAGTTAGTCAACACATCAAAATAGAGTACTTTAAAGCATGACAAAAGTATTAAAAATGATTAAAATCTTTTAAAAAGGTTTTTAAAGTAAAACTTTTAATTATTATAACGTGCACTTCCTAAGTGTACTTAATGTGTTAAAAACAGAGTATCTATTTAAGCACACTTAAGTGGCATTTATATATATATGTATATATATATATCATCTGCAAGTATAGCTTTTCAAAAAATATACTTGTAAGATCTGAAGTACACTACAAGTGCACATTCAATACAATTAAGCACACTTCTTTTTCACGCGGAGTATGTCGAATTTAAGAAATGATGGGCATTTGATTTTTGCTTGAATTTCTGGAGGCTTTTGTGGGCACAGATTCATGTGGGCCTAAGTTAAGTTGCCAACCTGTCCCGAATTTTGCGGGACAGTCCTGAAATTGTGAGCTTTGTCCAGCGTTTACTATATTTGGCAGACTGAAGAGGTCCCACAGAATAAATGACATTGTATCACTCGAACCTGTGCAAATTGACTGCCAGTCACAATTAACAAAACTTAGCAGCGTTTTAAAACGTTATCATCCAAAATAGCAAATAGGCTTTCTAACTAATGTAAATCAAGATATACATAGTATAAAAGCAGTGGCGGCTCGTCGGGGGAGGCACAGCTTCCCCATAATTTTGAGGTGAAAATGGGAGGAGGACGATTTAATGTTAATAAAATTCACAATTCATTCCAGTTCATGTCTCAGAATGTGTATTTTTTGTTTGTAATTTCACAGCTGTAATACCATAACATGTTAATGAAGTTGGAAAGCGCCGCTTTTCTATCGCGAATGTGCCGAATCTGCTGATGTAATTATAACCGCTAATGATAGAGAAGGGTAGGCGGAGGCCGGGGAAGAGCTGAGCTCTCGTGCCTCCGTTGGTAAAAAAAATTAGCCAATCAGCATCGAGTGTTCACTTTCAGCGCTGAGGAGTGTTGAGAAAAGAAACCTCGTAAGGGAGACTAGACTAGAACATCTGCTGCTGCATAATGTACTAAGTACTTATGATGAGTAGCGATATTGAATAGGCTATTTGATCGCCAACAGATGTACCAAGCTGTCATTCAAACAGTAACGTTATATATACAAATTAAAAATAAAGGGAGAACACGCCTAAGCTGGATATAGGCTACAGCAGTCGGTTAAATATAATTATAATTACACATTGGTAGTGATGAGGTTGCAATTTAATACAATTTAGTACATTTAAAATATATTTACTTTAGTTATGTTAGTTAGTCAACACATCAAAATAGAGTACTTTAAAGCATGACAAAAGTATTAAAAATGATTAAAATCTTTTAAAAAGGTTTTTAAAGTAAAACTTTTAATTATTATAACGTGCACTTCCTAAGTGTACTTAATGTGTTAAAAACAGAGTATCTATTTAAGCACACTTAAGTGGCATTTATATATATATGTATATATATATATCATCTGCAAGTATAGCTTTTCAAAAAATATACTTGTAAGATCTGAAGTACACTACAAGTGCACATTCAATACAATTAAGCACACTTCTTTTTCACGCGGAGTATGTCGAATTTAAGAAATGATGGGCATTTGATTTTTGCTTGAATTTCTGGAGGCTTTTGTGGGCACAGATTCATGTGGGCCTAAGTTAAGTTGCCAACCTGTCCCGAATTTTGCGGGACAGTCCTGAAATTGTGAGCTTTGTCCAGCGTTTACTATATTTGGCAGACTGAAGAGGTCCCACAGAATAAATGACATTGTATCACTCGAACCTGTGCAAATTGACTGCCAGTCACAATTAACAAAACTTAGCAGCGTTTTAAAACGTTATCATCCAAAATAGCAAATAGGCTTTCTAACTAATGTAAATCAAGATATACATAGTATAAAAGCAGTGGCGGCTCGTCGGGGGAGGCACAGCTTCCCCATAATTTTGAGGTGAAAATGGGAGGAGGACGATATAGTAGTAAATTTATTTCTCTCGCAAAATCACATCCAAGTCCTAAGTATGAGAAGTATGAGAATGACAACTGACTCACTTTCCACACACCACAAATAATACACTACAATCCTGACCACCTCCTGACGGTCATCTGACAGGATGATATTGAAACCGGCCAACAGGAAGGCGATGTTTTCGTCTACTCCTCTGCGGACGATGTGTAGGGTGGGCAGCACGCCTGAGACCAGTAAGAGCGCCATCTAAGACATTCACAAGAATAGAGAATGCCTTGAAATGCTACCATGCTACATGAAATCAATCAAAAGCACATGAATGAATACTTTTAGATAGAAATAACTCTAAAAGTGGCTCTTTTTTGAAGCGTTTACCTGATAAAGTGCAACGAACGCCACAACCACAGAGATCGCTAGTTTCAAAGGGAACCTAAAAACTGATGGAAAAGAAATAAAATTGCAGTAAATTAATACAAACACTGCTTTTTAAAAGTTTGGGGTTGGTAAGTCTCTTATGCTTACCAAGGCTGCTTTTATTTGATCAAAAATACAAAAAAATTTGAAGTATTATTACAATTTAAAAAGACTGTTTTCTATGTGAATATATTTTAAAATGTTACTTAGTCCTGTGTGATGCAAAGCTGAATTTTCAGCATCATTACTCCAGTCTTCAGAGTCACATGATCCTTCAGAAATCATTCTAATATGCTGATTTGCTGCTCAAGAAACATTTATAATTATCAATAACAATATTTATTATCATTCCAATTTTTTTGTGACTCTTTGATGAATAGAATGCTTTAAAATGACAGAATTTTCTAACTTGTGCAACTTTTGCAACAAAAATGTCTTCACTGTAACTTTCCATCAATTTAATGCATCAGTAGTTGCTGAACAAAAAAATTTGAAAAATAAATGTCCTTGTTCTGTCCTTTTAAATCGTTCTCGTTCACCATTCCTGGCTGGTGGAATGATCTTCCCAGCCCTGTCCGGAATGCTGAATCCCTGACAATTTTCAAGCGACAGCTGAAAACTCATATCATTCGACGCTACTTGACTTAATCCTAAATTTACAAAAAAAAATGTCTTTCTCTTTAGTTTTTCCTTCCCTTTCTAGCTTGTACTTATTTGAACAATGCCTAAAAATTGGCATTACAAGCACTTCCTGTGTCTGTTTGCCTCTTTAAGAAGAATCGCTTTATGTATTACCCAACTGTAAGTCGCTTTGGATAAAAGCGTTTGCAAAATGACTAAATGTAAATGTAATAAATCTTACTGATCCCAAACTTTTGGGTGGTAGTGTATACAGTTGAGGTCAAAAGTTTAAAGTGATAGTTGTTCATGAGTCCCTTGTTTGTCCTGAACTGTTAAACTACCTGCTGTTCTTCAGAAAAATCCCTCAGGTCCCACAAATTCTTTGGTTTTCCAGCATTTTTGTGTATTTGAAACCTTTCCAACAATGACTGTATGATTTTGAGATCCATCTTTTCACACTGAGGACAACTGAGGGACTCATAAGCAACTATGCAGAAGGTTTAAATGCTCACTGATGCTCCAGAAGGAAAAACCATGCATTAAGAACCGGGGGTGAAAACTTTTGAACAAAATGGAGGTGTGTACATTTTTCTTATTTCGCCTAAATATCATATTTTTTTATTTAGTACTGCCCTTCAGATGCTACAGAAGACAGTTACATGTTTCCCAGATGACAAAATAAGTAAAATTTACCCTGATCTTCAGGCTCTTAATGCATGTTTTTTTTTTTCTTCTGGAGCATCAGTGAGCGTTTGAACCTTCTGTGATAGTTGAACATGAGTCCCTCAGTTGTCCTCAGTGTGAAAAGATGGATATCAAAATCATACAGTCATTGTTAGAAAGGGTTCAAAAATGCTGGAAAACCAAAGAATTTGTGGGACCTGAGGGTTTTTTCTGAAGAACAGCAGGCAGTTTAACTGTTCAGAACAAACAAGGGACTCATGAACAACTATCACTAAACAAAAAA